CCTTCATCCCAGCATGTTACTGGCCAAATATCACCCTAGGCCTCTTGGTTTTTCAGAAGTTGTTTAAATGTTTTTAACATATTTGACCCCTGTGACATTGGATATAAGTCAAGGTCATTTATTTGAACAAACTTTGTAGTCCTTCATCCCAGCATGTTACTGGCCAAATATCACCCTAGGCCTCTTGGTTTTTCAGAAGTTGTTTAAATGTTTTTAACATATTTGACCCCTGTGACCTTGGATAGAAGTCAAGGTCATTTATTTGAACAAACTTTGTAGTCCTTCATCCAAGCATGCTTCTGGCCAAATATCATCACCCTAGGCCTTTTGATTACTGAGAAGAAGTTGTTTAAAGTAAACAGTTGACGCCGGACGGACGCCGGACAACGGACGCCGCACCATGCCATAAGCTCACTTGCCCCTCGGGCCAGGTGAGCTAACAAACTTGGTAACCCTTCATCCCAGCATGCTACTGGCCAAATATCATCACCTTAGGCCTCTTGGTTATTCAGAAGAAGTTGTTTAAATGTTTTGAACATATTTGACCCCTGTGACCTAGAATATAAATCAAGGTCATTTATTTGAACAAACTTTGTAACCCTTTATTCTAGCATGTTACTGGCCAAATTTAGGCACCCTAGGCCTCTTGGTTATTCAGAAGAAGTTGTTTAAATGTTTTAAATATATTTGACCCCTGTGCCCTAGAATATAATTCAAGGTCATTTATTTGAACAAACTTGGTAGCTCTTCAACCCAGCATGTTACTGGACAAATATCATCATCCAAGGCCTCTCAATTATTCAGAAGAAGTTGATAAAAGGTTTTAAACATATTTGACCCCTGTGACCTAGAATACAAATCAAGGGCATTTATTTGAACAAACTTGGTAGCCCTTTATCCCAGCATGTTACAGGTCAAATATCATCATCCTAGGCCTCTTGGTTATTCAGAAGAAGTTGTTGAAAGGTTTTAAACATATTTAACCCATGTGACCTTGAATATAAATCAAGGTGATTTATTTGAACAAACTTGGTAGCCCTTCATCCCAGCATGCTTCTGGCCAAATATCATCACCCTAGGCCTTTTGGTTACTGAGAAGACGTTGTTTAATGTAAAATGTTGACGACGGACGCCGCAACATGCCCTAAGCTCACTTGGCCCTTTAAGGACTGACCACGGACCAGGGATGGACGCAGGGTGATTTGAATAGCCCATCATCAGATGATGGTGGGCTAAAATTGTTGGAGAAAATCTCCGGATAAAAAATAAAATACTGAAGTAAACAAACGGCAATAACTTTTGCAAAATCGACGAATACCAAGTTTCAAAGAGATCCGTGGAAAAATGTAGGAGATTGCCGGACAAAAATCAAATACTGAAATAAACAAAGGGCAATTACTCTTGCAAAAATTGTTGAATCAAAATTCTTTTCAAGAAAACACAACAATATATCATGATTATTGAACCTACTAAGTTTCAAAGAGATCTGTTGAAAAATGTAGGAGGAGATTGCCGGACAAAAATCAAATACTGAAATGAACAAAGGGCAATAACTTTTGGAAAAATTGTTGAATCAAAATTCTTTTAAGGGAGACACAACTTCATATCATGGTTATAATGTATACCAAGTTTCAAAGAGATCGGTCGAAAAATGTTGGAGGAGATTGCCGGACAAACAAAAGTTAACGCCGGACGGATAACGCCATACCACAATACTCGCGTCAAATTTGACGGGCGTATAAAAATCACATTCTGACATCTTTAGTCAATGCTGGCGCTGATTAAGTCTGCCCTCTTACTTCGGGTTGATCAATAATGAACTTTCCCTAACAAAAGATGCAAAGCAAGACAATGACAAACTATAGTGATACTTTATTGTGTAACGCAAAACATTTAAAATGTAAAATGTTCCATCAATGAAATACTGGCTTCGCTTACATTGGTATTTCTTTTTTTACAAACAATTTAAAATTGAGCTCAGGAACCACTAGTATGTAACATGCATTTCTGAAACAAATAGTTGTTGTCATTTGGTACATCTGGTGTGAAAATATAAGAAATATTTATCAAAGTCAGATTTTATATAATATGACATAGCATGCACATATTAACATATCAAACTCAAATTAAATACCACAACCAAAACAACACTTGATTCCACCTTACGTTTAATCTGCTGTATAGCACTGATTTATAGCACTGATTCCACCTTACGTTTAATCTGTGCTGTATAGCACTTCAATTCCATCTTACATTTAATCTGTGCTGTATAGCACTGATTCCACCTTACGTTTAATCTGTGCTGTATAGCACTTTGATTCCACCTTACGTTTCATCTGTGCTGTATAGCACTTTGATTCCACCTTACGTTTAATCTGTGCTGTATAGCACTTCAATTCCACCTTATGTTTAATCTGTGCTGTATAGCACTTTGATTCCATCTTACGTTTTAATCTGTGCTGTATAGCACTTCGATTCCACCTTACGTTTAATCTGTGCTGTATAGCACTTTGATTCCACCTTACGTTTAATCTGTGCTCATGTTCTTCTGGTTGTGAAAATTTGTGTGAAATATCTACACACAAATTAAAAAAAAAGTTATGTATTTCTAGATTACACAGATTAAACAGTAGATTACTAGATTACACAGACTAAAAAGTAGATTTCAGAGCTACTGCAAATTGGGAAATTTCAACACGGTAGAACTTCCCATTTTACAGTAAGTCTATTCTATACAGCAGATTGAATTACACTGGTTCAAACGTTATCAGTTCTGATCCTACGTGGCCGAATTATTGGAAATTGAATTTAATCATTGACAGTTTGACTTTCAATATACAAATGTACTCATGATAACGTCCTTAAAAAAACAGTATTCCTATGTAATTTAATAAAACTTCAAAGATGTATGATTATATTCAAATATAATGTGCCGTTTGGATTTTTCTAGTGCTTTAAAAAAATAATTGAATGCACTTGTGTGCTATGTTTTATGCAAAACATTATTTTGTTCTAAATGGGTTTTAACAAATGCTATGCTGTAGGTATGAAAATCACCCAATAAAATCACTCGCAATGTTTATTCAAAATTAATTCTGATTTCCCCCATAACCCAAACATGTCTTAAATATATACCGGAAGCTCATAAAAAATATGTCAAATAAATAGATCAAATAAGCAATCTAAGCACTTTATTCTTTAATGAGATTCAAAACAAGAGATTCTAAAACAAATATGATTTCATCAAAACGAAAAAGAAAAAAAATCTAAAATGATTCAAGGTATCGATTATAAAAGAATCTCATTAAAATGATTTGTATGAACATAACTGGTCATTACAGTCCCAGGATTAACACGAGATTCTTACTAAGCTGTAACGATGGTGCATGATGATAGGAATTTATGCGAGACATTAGTGAGTTAACGCCCTTGCTTCGTCACTAGATGGCACTGCTACCAGCTTGGTTCTACAAATCTAATGCTGACAGTGGCATTGCATGCTTTTTAAAATAATAATCAGCGGAACAAGCAGAATTTAAAAAAAAGGACAACATATAAATGCCTTTCATAAATTGTATATGCTTTGGATATTTATAGAATGTTTTATTTGATTCAATACTTGTAATTCTACAGTTAGCATTAAGTTTGTATGACCAATTTGCAATTGGTTGCAGCGCCATCTGCAAGGGAGATAACTCACTATTGTCTCTCAAAGGAAAGATAATGCAAGTACACTCGAGAGACTTGCCATGAATTGAAAGCGTAAATGCTCACATTTTTCATGTTGAATAAATGAGCATAAAAATATCCACATGCAAATACAAGGCAATATAGGATTTAGATATTGTTAGCCGTGAATATTTTGCTACAGTTTAATCTCCAACTTTTTTTTGCCCTCCGCAATGAGGGAGAATGTTAGCCTTACAACAAACATAGTAAACAATATAATATACATTAGGTGTATAGGACGAAATTAAAAATTGGTATACAGTATATAGATTACAGAACTGATGCCAACATAAATATTTCCACACTGTGATCAGTTCAAATAGTCAAAATGCAAACATTGCCATAAGTGAGAATTTCCACTTTTAGAGCGTGTTTCTAGTACAAAACACACGGCTACCCATGTAGCATTAAGTCCCACCAATAGGCATTTGTAATATACATAATGTATAAACAAGAGAGAAGCAACCCGAAAATGTCATGAGAAAAAATATAAGCAAAATAAAAATTCTGTAATTAAATAGATACATGAATTAAAAATGTTTAAGCTGTGTATGCTAAAGAAAAAGTAAGCAATCTATACTTCCTGACAATATTGTTAGATATTTATTGTGACTTTTTATGAGGTGTTAGTCTTGTAGCCCTCAGTTGTAAAAGTGACTACTGACAGTAGGTGTAAGCCTCCTCTATAACTCAGCACTACAGCTTACAGTAATTATTGCAGGGCTATGTCAGGTGATGATGTGTCCAATAAGTAAGAGATATACAACAACAAATATCTTAATGTCAATTCAGGTCAACCTCATGTCAAATTTTCAGGTCAATTTCACCTGAAAAAAGTGTGACTGTCCATTTCAGATAAAATTAACATTGAAAATTCACATGAAAATATTTCAGGTCTTACCTGAAATAGATCTGAAATTGACCTGACAATACCTTGTATCGGATGCAATATTTGCCTGTGAAGAGTTTTCGCAATGTCCAACAGGAAAAGTATGATTCCAGGACTCATGTCTGTGTCCTAAATTACTTAATTTAAATACAATTTATGTCATGGACTGTCTTTCTAATACACAGTACGTACTCACAATACACACAACCAGGTAGCTACCTTCACCGACAGATGGAGAAATATGTATTATCACCAAACAATATGTCCAGGGACTTTGATACCTCACCTAGTATATACTATACAAGGTATGTCAGATGAGGTACATCAAAAGCTAAGGACCGGCGAGATAAAAATTACTAAAACTAGACTTGATCATTTAACTCATTCACCCCTGAATGCACATTTTAACTCTTCCAATTCAAAGGTTGGAATAGTTCATTATGAAATTTCAGGGTTGAATGAGTTAATCAGTAGACAAATATTTAGGTTTTACAATGTCAGTCTAAATCATTTTTTTCAGTTTTAGGCCCTTTTCAGTTTTAAATAAGGCTCGAAATTTCCTGCCATTTGCAAAGTTTCAAAATTCATAGATTTCTCTAAACTCATCAACAGTACACAACCCTAAAACCTAACACTAGTTGATATTCCAAAATTCTCGAAATTAACTCATATAACAAACATTTCATTTTCTTGTTTTTTCTTCATTCATGTTTATATGAGAATAACACCCCAAAATTAATATAAAATTATAGCTTATTGTGCAGTCGAATTCCAAGCTCATTGAGACCCTTTCAAAACATCTTTGTTAAATTTCAGGGCCTTTTCGTCTATTTTGGGGCTTTTCAAAGGAAACATTTTTAGGTTTAAGCTTTCATCAATTTTCAAAGCAAACTCTTTGTTTTGGGGCCTTTTTAACACGTTTAATAATGAACTGTTCAAAGTCTGGGGTTGATAAAGAGTCGGATATGAAAATGGTCACATGATATACACCTGTTATACAGCGACTTTTACACCACGCTGTGGTACACACATACTCAGTGAACTCTGTCTAACCCTGACACCCGTGTGATCACATGATTCAGCCGTGTTACAGTTGTTATAAGGTTGTCATCGCTGAACCAAATCTAGCGGCCAGGTCAGACAAAACTCAAGACTGGAGAGTCGGGTTAAGAAAGTGTGCTGTCGAAATATATTTCTTGTACCATTTTAAATCCTTCCCTTTTTGATACATTTTTTTAACAAAACCAACGACTTATGTAAAATTAACCCAGTGATTGTACAAAGATTCTAACAAAACTGAAACCAACAGAGTCTGTAAACATGCAGAGTCTGTCATATCAATTATATTTCATTGTCCTGGGTCTGTTGCTTGGTTATGAAGTTCAAAAGGTCAATCCTGGTTGCTATGCCGAAAATCATCTGTTTCTTGGACATTTTACTTGTTCCTTCATCTGTAGAATAAATCAAGTATCAAATACAATTCCATCACCGTGAAAAATATTGATCAAAGCACTTCTACGAGACAAACATTGTTTTTTGTTTTAATACTCAAATATTTTAACCTGTTACTTTCAGTTTGATATATTTAAATACTGTAATGTGAATGGCTATGGCTTTTTGACCCTAAATGACTTAAAAAGACAATTGGCCAAAAACCAATACAAAAAATAAAGCTCCATTTTAACCAGATATTAATTCAAAAACATACTTTTCCACCATCAAGTTGTATGAAACTTCATTGACTTAAATTACCAAAGTGACCATTTTGAATCCAACTGTATACCATTTAACCAATATTGTCTTTTTGAAATATCGTCTAAATCAAAATTTACTCTTACGAGGTTGCTAAGTGAATCGTAATCNCTTCATTGACTTAAATTACCAAAGTGACCATTTTGAATCCAACTGTATACAATTTAACCAATATTGTCTTTTTGAAATACAGCATAGTATAATAAAATAAATATATAGTATTCATATCCATGTGTCCTGTTTGTCACATCCAAACCTGCCTGGCTTCCAAATGGGTAATTAACTTGGCATTAGTCTCCCATTGGTACTAGTCAATTCACTAACTTTTTTCAAATGAAATGTTGACAAAATATGGTAATGAGATTGTCTCCCTTAGAAACTCCTTAGTAGATGTTTACATTGGGCTTTATTTTATTCATTTATTATAGGGACATATTTTCTCCTCTGACTCATCAAAACATAGACCTTTTTTTAACATTCTCCAGATTTTATCTGTATCTGCAGGGTTTTTTGTTTGTTTTTGTATTGGATCAAAATCGGGAGTTCGATAAAAAAAAAATTACATGGACTTTGACAAAAGAGCAACAGAAAACTTGACAAAAGAGTTACAAGGACATTGACAAAAGAGTTACAGAAAGTTTGACAAAAGAGCAACAGGAAACTTGACAAAAGAGTTACAAGGACTTTGACAAAAGAGTTAAAGAAAGTTTGACAAAAGAGTTACAGGGTCTTTGACAAAAGAGCAACAGAAAACTTGACAAAACAGTTACAAGGACTTTGACAAAAGAGTTAAAGAAAGTTTGACAAAAGAATTGCAGGATGTTTGACAAAAGCGTTTAATTTTAGAACTAGTAATGTTGAAAGCATGTCTTCTAGTTAGGTTAAGCACTCCCAAGTAAACCCTAACAAAAAGCATGGAAATGAACAGACACCAAGGTACAGTAGCCTTTAAAAAGGTTGGAAATATATTTTGTATAAAATTTGATAAACTAGAAGGTGAACGGATATACACCAGGTAGAATTGTGAAGTCTGTACACAAAATACCATTTCTTATAGGAATCTAGTTTTTAACGAAAAGTTATATATAAAATAATAAAATTTACCCAGAGGAACATACCTCAGATTAGTCGCTAGTGATCGGACACCAAATTACCTTTCTGAAGCTAGAAAACTAGAGAAATCTATGTACCTCCAGCTAGTGGGTGATAGATACTCGCAACCCTGTACATTTACGAGTCAGAAAGTTAGAGAAATGCAGGAAGCCAGGACGTGATTCGAATGTGAGGACAGGACTCACCACCCAGAGATTGGTACGTACACTGACGCTGGTCGTGGACCACTAGGACAAAGTGGTCCGTGTCCAACATCCGGGACAGCTGACCGAGGGAAATGTCCATCTTCACCTGTACACACAGAAATAGTATTATAATACAACCAGGTTGAAACTAATACATGTATTAGGAATATCTAAATAAAATATTTTAACTTATATTAATCACTCTTGTTAGTGCAGATGTTAGCACGCAGGGGGTCTTATTGTGGGAGGAAACCAGAGTACCCAGAGAAAACTCAATTGGTTGGGCAGGTGACCCATACCTTGTCACATCTGATCGGGGAATCAAATCCCTTAAAGGCAACTACTAATGTGATGTTCACTGTTTATTCCTTACATTCTCAAAATATAGCAGCAGTATATAACAACAATGTCTGTACATCTTGGTCGTTACCATGGCGTCTATGACCAACCCATGTGTCTATTTATACAAGCATGGTACTTAAATTCATGTTTTTCCAATGAAGTAATAAAACAATGCTTTTAATTTTGACATCCTCATATGGAACACTGTGTTTCCAGTTTTAAAACGATTATATTACATTAGGGCTGAATTGCAAGTTCAGAAGGGATAGGCATACATGTCAGGAGGGATCAATAGGTACCAATAAGTCAAAGTACCACATATAGCTCATAAAGGGTTAACAACCAGGTTTAAAATGCTAATATAATTATAAAGGGAAATGACTGGGACTGGAAAAACTTATAGCCAGGACTGGAGTAACAAGTAACTCAAGTTAAAGTAGGGAAACAGCCAGGACTCTACTGGGGTTTAACCCTTTCACCCCTAGGTAACTTTAGTAGACTCTACCATACATTGATCTGGATGAGTCCATTATAGTCTACAGTGGTGAAAGGGTTGACATAACTATTTGACACGTCAGAATCAAATTGACCAGGTTTTACATGGATTGCCAAACTTACCTTCTTGAATTGCTTGTACATGACTCGAGAAATGGGCTCAGCGGGTTTGACCTTTGCCTTGACAACCTGTGCCATCATGTTGCCAACGGTTACCATCCCCATGATTTCGCTGAAAGTAGAAGACAGTAATACAATGACGCAGCCAATGGGTTGTTTGATTATTTTACAGAGTGATGAAACCAACATGCAGTATGACATCATCATTGAGGCCGAACTGACGGATGACGTCGGTTCCTACACCACTGCATCATAAGCTCACTTGGTTTTTCAGGTCGGGTGAGCCAAAAGTTGCGTAGCTGGTCCACAGGTTTTACTTTAGTTGATTATAAAATGTATGTATTCTAATAGAAACTTTATATATTTTACAGCCATTATTGCCACTGATATGAATCACTGTTGTTGGCCTGGATCTTAATCAATGTGGTTGGGCAGTGCTAGAATTGTAGAATGCTAGCGACGAAATGGCAGCACCGGCTGTATGCTCCCCAGGGAGTTGCGAAAGATATTGGCTGGTTGCAAAGGCCCTATAACCACGGATAATAATTTGTGAACCGCTTTGAGACGACCTTCAAACTAGGTTGTGATAAAGCGGTATATGAGAACCTGGAATTATTATTATTATTAATTACTATTATGTATTAATGTGGGATGAAACCCATGTGGTTGGGCAGGTGACCCCCATACCTTTTCATGTCTGATCATTGAATCACACCCCTGCTGCGGTGGTGAAAGGCAAATGCATTATCCACTGTGTCTCCCGACTACCCGATACCAATTTGTATTCAACCAGACCATATGATACCTACTGTATTCAACCAGACCATCCGATACCTACTGTAATCAACCAGACCATCCGATCCCTACTGTAATCAACCAGCCCATCCGATACCTACTGTAATTACCCAGCCCATCCGATCCCTACTGTAATCAACCAGCCCATCCGATCCCTACTGTAATTAACCAGACCATCCGATCCCTACTGTAATCAACCAGACCATCCGATACCTACAGTAATCAACCAGACCATCCGATACCTACAGTAATCAACCAGACCATCCGATACCTTCTGTAATTAACCAGACCATCCGATACCTACTGTAATTAACCAGTAATCTACTGTTGGTAGGTTTTGGTGGTTGAGGAAAACCAGAGTTCCCGGAGAAAACATAACCGGCCTACAGCCAGTACCTGGCGACTGCCCCACGATGATCTGGAACCCGCGATCCAGTGGTGGAGGGCTAGTGATAGCAGAATGTCAGACGCCTTAACCTCTCGGCCACTGTGGACCCCAGTAATCTACTTGTATTTTACCTGTGTTTAAGTTATATTGATATAAATTCTTTTTGTTATTAGCTGTTGTACTATGAGTGAAATACACAAATGATTATTTAATGACTGCTTACCCTGTGTCACTGACCACTGGCACCTGGTCAAATCCCTCCTTGTTGAGCAAGTCAAGCGTGTCCTGGATTGTGACTGTGGGGGTCACAGTCAGTGGAGCTCTTAGCGCTAAGGCACTTACATTCATGTCCCACCACCTGTACAATTAGAACAAATGTTTTCTGTAACATGCATTCCTTTTTATTCGTTTGTATATCTAATCTACAACATTAGGGAAATTCAATAAAATTATTTCAAAAATTTGCAGACAAACATTTTGAATTGTATCAACAAATGTAGCAGTACTGTAAACAGTTTTCAGAATAAGTCGGTCTCTGTTCAAAAGATATATATATACATTGACTTCTCAACTTTCTTCAGTTTCAGAAAAATCAAATAAAACAAAAACCGCTCCTGTAACAAAATTATCTCACAGAATTTTTTTTCATTTTTATTTCTACCCGTTATTTAACGTAAACTAAATGTTACTGTTTGAAGAAAGTTCAAAAGCCACCAGACAGAATACAACACTGAAATATTCGGTGACCTAACACGTGTATCGTGTTACAACAGAGTAATGGAGAAGGACAGGTTCTGATGTGTCGACTCACAGATAACCTTTCAGCACATGTGAACTCTAGAGAAGTAAAACCTGTTACTGCTGCTTTATCAATACATGTACTTGTAATGATATGGAAAAAAAAAAAAATCTTGAAACAACTATTCTGTAATAAAAAAAAAATAAAAAAAATATGTGATCGCTTAATTTTCCATGGAGTCATTTTATACTATTATATTTTTGTGGTGTTTGTTATAATACAGTTATGTTCACCAATAATGTCACCTAATCTTCCATAAAAGGTCACACGTGGAAGTGCTTCCTTTTGTGAAACAGTCAATTATGAATGTCAACTCAATCTGTTTTCAATTCCGAATCTTTGAAACTGTTAGAATTCTACACAGAAGTAAGTTACTTGTCATACTGTCTATTGGCTTTTTACACCTACAGATCAGAATTGATAGAAACTATCTCTAATATTTTGTACTTTTATAACAAATCTAGCTACAAGCTTGCTGTAGACTCCTATTACAAATGATATATCTAACTGTTAGTTATCCTGAGCCATTGTTAAGCTTGTGTGAAGCTTGTGTGAAGCTTGTGTGAATCCTGTTTAGGATGTAAATACACCAAACAGTTAATATTTCTCATGTTAACTATGAAGTATGTGATGTCTTGTTAACTATGAAGTATGTGATGTCTTGTTAACTATGAAGTATGTGATGTCTTGTTTACTATGAAGTATGTGATGTATTGTTAACTGTGAAGTATGTGATGTCTTGTTAACTATGAAGTATGTGGTGTCTTGTTAACTATGAAGTATGAGATGTCTTGTTAACTATGAAGTATGTGATGTCATGTTAACTATGAAGTATGTGATGTCTTATTAACTATGAAGTATGTGATGTCTTGTTAACTATGAAGTATGTGATGTCATGTTAACTATGAGGTATGTGATGTCTTATTAACTATGAAGTATGTGATGTCTCGTTAACTATGAAGTATGTCATGTCTTGTTAACTATGAAGTATGTCATGTCTTGTTAACTTTGAAGTATGTCATGTCTCGTTAACTATGAAGTATGTCATGTCTTGTTAACTATGAAGTATGTCATGTCTTGTTAACTTTTAAGTATGTCATGTCATGTTAACTATGAAGTATGTGATGTCTTGTTAACTATGAAGTATGCCATGTCTTGTTAACTATGAAGTATGTGATGTCTTGTTAACTATGAAGTATGTCATGTCATGTTAACTATGAAGTATGTGATGTCTTGTTAACTATGAAGTATGCCATGTCTTGTTAACTATGAAGTATGTGATGTCTTGTTAACTATGAAGTATGTCATGTCATGTTAACTATGAAGTATGTGATGTCTTGTTAACTATGAAGTATGCCATGTCTTGTTAACTATGAAGTATGTGATGTCTTGTTAACTATGAAGTATGTCATGTCATGTTAACTATGAAGTATGTGATGTCTTGTTAACTATGAAGTATGAGATGTCTTGTTAACTATGAAGTATGTGATGTCTCGTTAACTATGAAGTATGTCATGTCTTGTTTACTATGAAGTATGTGATGTCATGTTAACTATGAAGTATGTGGTGTCTTGTTAACTATGAAGTATGTCATGTCTTGTTTACTATGAAGTATGTGATGTCATGTTAACTATAAAGTATGTGATGTCTTGTTAACTGTGAAGTATGTGATGTCTTGTTAACTATGAAGTAACTGATGTCTTGTTAACTATATCAAGTATGAAATGTCATGTTAACTATGAAGTATGTGATGTCTTGTTAACTATATGAAGTATGTGATGTCTTGTTAACTATGAAGTATGTGATGTCATGTTAACTATGAAGTATGTGGTGTCTTGTTAACTATGAAGTATGTGATGTCTTGTTAACTGTGAAGTATGTGATGTCTTGTTAACTATAAAGTATGTGATGTCTTGTTAACTATATGAAGTATGAAATGTCATGTTAACTATGAAGTATGTGATGTCTTGTTAACTATGAAGTATGAGATGTCATGTTAACTATGAAGTGTATGATGTCATGTTAACTATGAAGTATGTGATGTCTTGTTAACTGTGAAGTATGTGATGTCATGTTACCTATGAAGTATGTGGTGTCTTGTCTACTATGAAGTATGTGATGTCTCGTTAACTATGAAGTATGTGGTGTCTTGTTAACTATGAAGTAGGTGATGTCTTGTTAACTATATGAAGTATGAAATGTCATGTTAACTATGAAGTATGAGATGTCTTATTAACTATGAAGAATGTGATGTCTTGTTAACTGTGAAGTATGTGGTGTCTTGTTAACTATGAAGTCTGTGATGTCTTGTTAACTATATGAAGTATGAAATGTCATTTTAACTATGAAGTATGTGATGTCCTGTTAACTATGAAGTATGTCATGTCATGTTAACTATGGAGTATGTGATGTCTTGTTAACAAGGAATATGTGATGTCTTGTTAACTATGAAGTATGTGATGTCTTGTTAACAAGGAATATGTGATGTCTTGTTAACTATGAAGTATGCCATGTCTTGTTAACTATGAAGTATGTCATGTCTTGTTAACTATGAAGTATGTCATGTCATGTTAACTATGGAGTATGTGATGTCTTGTTAACTATGAAGTAGGTGATGTCTTGTTAACTATGAAGTATGTGGTGTCTTGTTAACTATGAAGTAGGTGATGTCTTGTTAACTATGAAGTATGTCATGTCTTGTTAACTATGAAGTATGAGATGTCTTGTTAACTATGAAGTATGTGACGTTTTGTTAACTATGAAGTATGTGATGTCTTGTTAACTATGAAGTATGTGATGTCTTGTTAACTATGAATTATGTGATGTCTTGTTAACTATGAAATATGTGATAATGATAATTGACTGTGATTCCCACTTCCTAACTACAATGTCGCAAACAGAAAATAAAACCAGGACCTTGATTGCCTCACATTCTACAGCAGGTTGTTACTGCTAAAGGAAAGGGAAAATTTCTTATGGCTAAAGGTTGGTTGGTTGGTTTGTGTTTTACGTCCTATTAACAGCTATAAAGCAGTTAAAATCACAAACAATGCCCCCCACCCCACTTGACCATTGTTCCTTAAACGTGACTTCTTGTTTAGTATTATATACTATATCATACATAAAATGGAGCTGCTGGAATGATGTGACAAATTTCTATAAATAACAGCAGTGACCTTGACCTTGAAACACACGTCTGTATAAAGTTCGATCACAATTAATTAGGCAATTATGCTAATAGAGTGATACCAGTAAATCAAGACAGAATATGACCGGGCAGACTCGGACATGAAAAACTTTACAAGGGCATAAACAATATACTGGCAAGTCAAAATAAACCCAGCATCAACCATATACAATATACAACTATACAGATAGAATTTTAATCAGAAACTATCAATTACTGAAAAAAAAATTGGATATCAGAAATTCACCCTGGATGAATAACATACAGAAATGTGCTCAGAAACAACTATTTTCAATGGCAACAATAAGGCCTGAACTCTTTGAAACACAATTATTAAATCTATAAATTATGTTCAAATCATTGTAATGACAACATTTTACTGGATGATTTGATTCGACATGAAATATTTAGATTTATTATTTTACTTTTTACAAAGAGTTAATTGACTGTCCATCAAATGTTTCAAAAGATGTTCTGTAAAAAGGAAAATATTATACATGTATATTCCATTGAGACAGTCTAATAATATTATCCAATGGCTATCTTTATTCTTTAATTGAGATGGATTAAGAATGAGTCAGATGAATTAATACAATGCGAGTGACCAATGGAAACTAAAACGGATTAATTGGAACATACCAACAATGTCAATTAATACAAAAGTTATATGGGGTTATTTATAAAAGAAAATTACAGATTTAAGATAAAGAAAATGTCATCAGGCTTAATGCATGGTAATACTTCAATATAATGTCATTTTATACATACCAGTGACAACTTTAAAAAAAAAAAAAAAAAAAAATTACATACAGAAGTCAAAATTTTAGCTTAATCTGATGATAAAATATTGTATCTTGGTTATAAAGTCATTCTGATGATAGAAAATACTGCATTCTAAAAGGAAAACATCATATTCTAATAATATGATATCATGTTCTAAAAATAAAATACCATACACTAATAAAATATCATACTCCATTAAAATATCATATTCTAATAATAAAATATGATATTCTTATAAAATTTCATATTCTAAAAATAAAATACCATACTCTAATAAAATATCTTATTCTAATAATAAAATATTATATTCTAATGATGAAATATGATATTCTAATAAAGTATGATATTTTGATAATGAAATATTATACCCTTATGAGAAAAAGTCACATTTTGATGAAAATGCAGTTTTAACTCGTTTTTACATGTGAGGTATCACAAATAATCAATCCGATGAAAATTGTAATTAATGTTAAATACCTTCAGATGTTATGATACCACTTTTTAGTATTGACCAATCAAAACACTAGTTTCCATTCACTGCATTCAAACCCTCAGATTTTGGGTTTCCAAGGAGATGTTACAGTGAGTGTTTGTTTTTTGTACAGTGTCACTACACACACTATATATATAGTACCGGTGTAACTACAACTGTTCCCAAATAAACCAGAAAACAATACAATGGCGTGAAGTAGCCTGTACATAATGGCATGCAGCATTATCAAGCATGATGATATTGGAATATGTGTGAAATGTTACGCTTTGCAAGTGTGATAATTTCCAAATCCATCCGATACCACCTCCAGTCACCTGTGTTATAAGTTTCTCGTAATGCACCCCCTGTTTGGAACCCCTCTGACTACATGTGGTTCCCAATGAAAACAGAAAATGAGTTCTGAATAGTATACCTAGATAGACGGATATGTGTTGTTATAATCTGAAGGGGGTCTTTAATATATTAAAAAACAAATCAAAAATCCCGATATACACTGTGTTGTTTCTCCGCAATGTCCAGCCAAATCCTGTTTAGCTATTCATGTTTTAGTGTTTACTCAACCAGGCCGTTCTTACCTGGGTTGCGCACCTTGTCGGTTTGTTTATATGGACGTGTGCTTATGAACTGACACATCAAAATGTCAACAAATGAAGGTGAACGCCTTCTCAACTTATTAGAAGCACGATTGGCTTGGTTTGGTTTAGTATTGTTTAACGTCCTATCAACAGCTATGGTTATTTAAGGACGGCCTCCCCTGTGTGCAAGATGCATGCGTGTAGTGTATGCGTGTGTGTTTCGGGAGGCTGCAATATGTTTGTGGTTGTCTCCTTGTCATAGCGCGGAACTGATGCCGACTTGATAGTGCTACCTCACTGAAACATACTGCCGAAGACACCCAGCAGGACACCCCACCCGGTTACATTATACTGACAACAGGCGAACCAGTCGTCCCTCTCCTAAATTGCTGAGCGTTAAGCAGGAGTAGAAACTACCATTTTTACAGACTCTGGTATGTCTCGGCCAAGGGACAGAACCCAAAGCCTTCGTCACAGGGCCGAACACTCATCTAAAGGCCAAAAGTTAGGCATTGTCATGGGAGAAATTAGGAAGAAGAAAGTTGTTAAGAAAGAAGAGAAAAGATAAGATCCCAAATTTAGTCGCCTCTTACGATCAAACAATTGGGGCAGCAGGTACAAACTTGTTTCTGTGAACAAAAACATATGTCTCCCACTATTAGCCAATAGACAATTGCAAACTTCAGTAAAAAAAAAAAGGCCCATATTTTTTTATATAGTGGGGCACAAGACCAGAATTTCAAATGTGACACTCCTACTCCCCGAGATACATAACTATAGCAAGTTTGGTCAACGTAGGTGAAATAATATGGAAGTTATGCTGTTGACAAACATCTGTATTAAAAATAAACAAAGGACCATAACTCTGTATATTGTGGGGCACGAGACCCAATTTCAGTATGAGAGATTCCACCCTCCCAAGATACATAATTATGGTTAGTTTGGTAGACGTTGGTGAATAACTTATGCTCCGGACAAACTTCCTCACAGTGACCTAAATCTAGTGCACTGCACACCTTCTGTGGCTGATGCATGCATACCTCAAGTTTCACCAAGATATCTTTAACGGTTTAAAATGTATGGCCCAGGCACGTTGCGATTAGAAGGACGAGAAGAAGAACCCAGAAGAGAACCAGTACTAATACAATATGTCCCCCTTCATTCAAGGGGAGACATAATAAACTACAAAGATGTTGAAGACCTACTGGTACATTTGTACTGTGCACCATCACAAGTTTGTCTGTGACACATGTTGCAGTTATACCAGTAGTTCTGCAACATCGTCTGCATGTAGTTTTATTGATTATTTATTTTTGTTTTATACAACAAATTTATTTAGGGCTAATTCTTTTCCCTGCAAGTCAAATCTACTACACTACGGATAGCAGAGGCAGTTATAGTCTCATAACTCTAAAAAGAACAGCTAAGGAAAGGTATTACCCCACCAAACGATAAAATACACTATAATACACCAAATGGGGTAAATAAATGACAAAACATCAAACAAAAGCAAAAAAAAGTTTAAATGCTTCACTGAAACAATTTGAAAATAACACCAGAGAGGGAGGAAGTTACGGTCTGTGCAAACAGGTAGCACAGCAGATCTATTTAACTCAGCCCAGGTGAGAGTTCACGACAAACGTGGCAGGTGCTGATTGGTTAATTGATTAAAAAAAATGAATAAAAAGTTTATTTACCTGTCACTGTAGGCAAAAACAAAAAGAAACATTGAAACCAAAAAATCCTCAGTGTGTCAAACGTTAACATTCTTCTGTTTCCCCCTCAATTAATTTATAATATACACTTTCAACCACAGTGAAAAACTAGACACAGAGAATTGGACGGAGCATTAGATTATCATGTCATGTGACCATGTGATAAACACTTACTTGCCATCAGGGGGCGACACTTTCTTCTCACTTTCTAGGAAATCTCTCTGGCTCATCCAATCATCACTTAGGAACTTGGTCCTACAACCAGTAATCATATAATATTAGTATCTATAGGAGGATAAAAGGAGTGGAAAACTAGGAAGATTAACTGATTCACCCCTGAAGACACATTTGAACTCTTCCATTCAAAGGTTTGATTAGTCGATTAGGAAATTTCAGGGGTGAACGATTTAAAGGAGTCAGTAAGAGTGAACAGTCATAAAGAGTTAAGTGTCAATCATTCCTATCTATCAATTCTCAAATTTTGAAATTTCATAATTCATTTTTTTTTTTTATAAATAACCCTTAATATAACTATCAGGTGTGTAAAACCATATTTGCCAACTTTTTTTTTTTAATCAGAATTCGAAACATAAAATAAAATGACATAGTTTGAGTTATTCTTTCAACTTAAATCATTAAATTTTAGAATATGGGAGTAGTTTAGCAAATTCATTGGTTGGGAATATCAAATTTAAGGGTCCAAAATCGCGAGTCTACCTCCAAGATAGGGAGAGTTGGCAGTATTTAAAACCTTGTATAAACATAGCAATGGTACCTTGAATGCTTACAGTAGAGTATCGTATATATTAAATATGGGTGGTCGGGTGACCGTATTGTCAGGAAATCTGTTTAAATTGAGATGTGAGTGATATACAAGGTATTATCATTGAAGAACACAAGGGTAAACTATACTTACATGTAGTTACGAACGGAGTCAGCGAGGATGACCACGCAGCTCTGACCTTCCTTCAGTCCAAACTCCTTGATAGCCGTAATGGCTGTGTGCATGGAAGCACCAGAACTTCCACCTACACATACATAACAGGAAACAGGCCAGGGGTTAATGGTCTGTAGATAGTGATCGTAATGATTAACATTTATCGATTAGTTTGTGCTGGTACAGTACCCCAGTACAGATAGTGTTTGTGATGTTGTCCAAACATCAAATGTATGTACAACAACTGAAAGAAGGCTGCAAATACGAAATATCTCCGACATTTCTTCTATTTTGCTTATTTTAAACTCAACTTTTATACAGTTTAGTACTACAGTAATGCTGCACAATACTCTGCTTATTGACAAGTTATTTCTGTGAGATATATAATTAATAAATAGCAGACCAGTCTGAGTATATAAACTTGACCAACTCTGATAGTGATACTTGTCATGACTAGATAAAACTAATTTAAGCCAGATCTCCTGATATCAAAACGCTTGAGTGAAATTTTAACATTTTTGTATACTGAATCTTATTTTTTTATGCAACAGAGGTCAGCATTTTATCAGTGCCTCTACTGAGGGTTGAACCTAGAACCTCTGATTTACTAGTCTTACACTCTACCGAATGAGCTAGAAATTCTGGTTAGCAGAATCAGCAGAAAGATTCTGTGTCTGTGTGCAAATTGAGTTAATTTTCTTCCTTAAAATGTTTCAGTTTTTCTGAATACAGTACTTACCACACAGAAGTCCCTCCTCCCTGATGAGGCGCCGCGACATCTTAAACGTTTCCTTGTCCCTCGTCTTGTACCACTTGTCTACCAGCTGTGGATATAAATCTTACAGATAACTCATTTAATGTCAACAAAAACTAAATACTCTAAAAGTGGAAATGTACGTATGTGGAAATGTTCATATTTTGAAGGAAATGTTTGTATGTGGAAATGTTCGTATGTGGAAAAGTTCATATTTGGAAGGAAATGTTCATATTTGGAAGGAAATGTCCATATGTGGAAATGTTAGTATGTGGAAGGAACTATCAGGTGTGTAAAACCATATTTGCCAACAGGAAATGTACGTATGTGGAAATGTTCATATGTGGAAATGTTCGTAGGTGGAAATGTTTGTATTTGGAAGGAAATGTTCGTATGTGGAAATGTTGGTATGTGGAAGGAAATGTTCGTATGTGGAAATGTTCATATTTGGAAGGAAATGTACGTATGTGGAAATGTTCATATGTGGAAATGTTCGTATGTGGAAATGTTTGTATTTGGAAGGAAATGTTTGTATGTGGAAATGTTCGTATGTGGAAATGTTCGTATTTGGAAGGAAATGTTTGTATGTGGAAATGTTCATACTTGGAAGGAAATGTTCGTATGTGGAAATGTTCATATTTGGAAGGAAATGTTCGTATGTGGAAATATTTGTATGTGGAAATGTTCGTATTTGGAAATGTATGCAGGTTGTCTCTTTATACTGATTGTGGTGTGGAAATACTGTACTGGCAAAGGCTCCGAAATCTATATATCTCTAATCCATACAATCTATAAATAAAGATCTGCATGTTGATATTTCCGCACTTATTTGTTCAATGCAAAAAACGTGAACTTTTTTACCTTTACAGAAATTGGTTCATGCTGCATAATTATATAAACTGTTATAATATCAAACTTTGTTTTATTAAAAATAAATACACAAATAGAAACCAAAAGTTGGAATGTTAAATTCCAATATTTAAACAATCAACAGGGTCAAGAGATTTAACCCAATGTCACCCAAGGTCAAGAGAGACAGACTTACCTTAGTCACACAAAGTCAAGAGAGACAGACTTATCTTGGTCACACAAGGTCAAGAGAGACAGACTTACCTTAGTCAAACAAGGTCAAGAGAAACAGACTTATCGTAGTCACACAAGGTCAAAAGAGACAGACTTACCTTAGTCACACAAGGTCAAGAGAGATGGACTTACCTTAGTCACGCAAGGTCAAGAGAGACAGACTTATCTTAGTCACACAAAGTCAAGAGAGACAGATTTATCTTAGTCACACAAAGTCAAGAGAGACAGACTTACCTTAGTCACACAAGGTCAAGAGAGACAGACTTACCTTAGTCAAACAAGGTCAAGAGAAACAGACTTACCGTAGTCACACAAGGTCAAGAGAGACAGACTTACCCTAGTCATACAAGGTCAAGAGAGACAGACTTACCCTAGTCACACAAGGTCAAGAGAGACAGACTTACATTAGTTGCCTCAGTCTCACAAAAGGGCACTTATCTCAAGGTCACACATGGTGAAACTTGACTTACCACACGGTCACACACAGTAGGTATGAAGTCATACCCGGTGCCTTCAACTTCGTACGAAGTCACATCAGTTTTGTTGAGGTCCTCAGGCTCAGCAAGAATGGATCCTTCAGGGTCAACACCAATTATCTGGTCAAGGTAAAATAGCAAGGTCAAATCAGAGTGAACTAAAGAAAGCTGCACAATTATTACTGTTGATATGTTCCCATGTCAGATTTCAATCAATTCATTATAGTTCTAAAAGGTAACACCAAAACTGACCACTTTAAACAATTACCTTACAGTTGGGACAGCGAGACTTGATCTTCCTAGCGATACCCGTCAGTGTTCCACCTGTTCCTGTACCCATCACAACCATGTCAACTTTGTCTGTAAATCAGAAATATCAGCTTAACACAAACTTTTGTTGAACCTCTTCAGTGACTGTTCGCCAGGGTAAAGACAGCTGCATTAGAGTTGTTAGTACCTAAGTATATGGGTAGTCTCTATGGGACACCCTACACTGGATAAGGTATGGTCCAATTGTATTCTACAGTGCTTTGACTTAAACCTTTGACCCTATGAATAATCATGGCTCTGGATCATTGTATGGGAGATGTGACAGGGTTATAAGTTTTAAAGATTTAAAATACTGCACTAGTTTTGTGCTGGAATGTATTTTTAAAAGCAAGAAAGAATGACTTCTTACTGTGTTTAAAGTCGTTCAGTTATTGAGTGTCCATAGTATTAAAGAATTGTGTATATTAGGAAAATTCATCTATGAGGCAAACAAATTAAGGGTATTCTCTGTACATTGTCCATGATTTGTGTATAATATGTATTGTATACTGATGGGCCAATGGCCTAAAGTTCGAATAAAACTTGAAACTTGATTAATTCCACTGGGTGTTTATTTCGTGTTTCCACTAATGTTTGTTATTGACAGGCTTTCATTATCTCTGAGGCTGTCACACATTGTGATCACACGTATAAACTCACTGTGACATGACCAGCACTTAACCCTTTCACCCTTATGTAACTTTAGTAGACTCTACCATGCATTGATCTGGACGAGTCCATTATGGTCTACAGTGGTGAAAGGGTTAAGTGTAATTACTCATATTGATAGTCACCGACATGATAGCATATATTCAGATCACTGTAATCCTCATACCAAAAAGAAATACAGTTTGATAAATAACAATGTACAAATGCTTTTGTTGGTGATTACTTCATTGGTGATTCAGACAGACCTAGATGTCGGTCAGTACTTACCATCTAGGGATTGGAGTATCTCCTCTCCTGTACCGTCGAAGTGTGCCAGGGGGTTACTAGGGTTACTGTACTGTAGAAGTAATCACATGTTACAAGTAAAACGGTGAAAACGACTGTAAATAGTTCAATGGAGGATCTCCAATAATTGTCTTTGTCACTAGAAGTGAATGGAAAACTAAAACTATATCAAATTTGGGGGTTAAGAATATCTGGGGGGTTTTAACACCCTCCTTAATAGTTTTGTGACTTTCACTGTAAATACTGTGTGGAAAACAAAACTGGTTAACTCATTCACCCCTGAACACACATTTGAACTCCTCCAATTCAAAGGTTGGAATAGTTCATTATGAAATTTCAGGGTTGAATGAGTTAACATAAAAGTATTAGCAATTCTCAGTACCTTTATACTACATAAACATTGTCAAGATTTGTCTATATCATCATATCATAACAACTTTTTTACATGGGCGTATTAGGTGACCTTTGACCTTACATGCAAGGTTAGTTAAAGGGATTTTGACCAATCAGACAGATTACTGTTTATCCTTGATTTACCTGATCAAGTATGTGGGAGTTAGGGATCTCTTCCATCAGTCGCTTAGCGACCCCAATATGAGACTCGGGAGAATCAAAGGCTGCTGATGTTGGTGTCCTGACAATCTCTGCACCCAACGCCCTCAGTACATCTACCTACAGAAGGAGAGCACAGGAATGTGTAACACAGTGTGTATCAGTAGTTATGTTGTTTGTATAGTAACAGTGGTTTATACGGTACAGATTTAAAACTTCTGTGTATAAAAGTTTGTATAGTAACAGTGGTTTATACAGTACAGATTTAAAACTTCTGTGTGTAAAAGTTTGTATAGTAACAGTGAGTTATACGGTACAGATTTAAAACTTCAGTGTATAAAAGTTTGTATAGTAACAGTGATTTACACGGTACAGATTTAAAACTTCTGTGTGTAAAAGTTTGTATAGTAACAGTGGTTTATACTGTACAGATTTAAAACTTCCGTGTATAAAAGTTTGTATATTAACAGTGGTTTATACGGTACAGACTTAAAACTTCTGTGTATAAAAGTTTGTAAAGTAACAGTGGTTTATACGATACAGATTTAAAACTTCTGTGTATACAAGTTTGTATAGTAACAGTGGTTTATACGGTACAGATTTAAAACGTCTGTGTATAAAAGTTTGTATAGTAGCAGTGATTTATACGGTACAGATTTAAAACTTCCGTGCATAAAAGTTTGTATATTAACAGTGGTTTATACGGTACAGAGTTAAAACTTCTGTGTGTAAAAGTTTGTATAGTAACAGTGATTTATACGGTACCGATTTAAAACTTCTGTGTATAAACGTTTGTATAGTAACAGTGATTTATACGGTACCGATTTAAAACTTCTGTGTATAAACGTTTGTATAGTAACAGTGGTTTATACGGTACAGATTTAAAACTTCCGTGTATAAAAGTTTGTATATTAACAGTGGTTTATACGGTACAGACTTAAAACTTCTGTGTATAAAAGTTTATAAATTGTATCCAGAAATGTACAAGTTCAAAATATCCTAAATAACAACATGTAAGATGGGTTTGTGTACAAGTCTGACTTGTTCACTTAAGGTTATATGCTGCCTTAATAGTTATCTCCCCTTTTATAATTATATCGTCCATCACCACATCCAGTCCATATTTCAATTCATAAATAATATAAAATCACAAGTTTTTCAAAGTGGATTTTTAAAAATGTAATTCAGTGTTAAGTACGTTAGTATACTATACATCCCTCACAATTTCTTTTTTTAAATGAGATGAAGTTGTCTAGGTCTGACCTACCTTTTCCATACTCATCTTCTCTGGCATGACGATGATACAGCGATACCCCTTCACAGCTGCAGCCAGGGCCAGCCCAATACCTGTAAGTGTAAAATGTTATCAAATAATCATGTTTACTTTCTATTAAATGCTATCATGATAAGTGACAAACTTGAAACTGTAAAGTCCAATCCTAAAGAAATTTGTTTTTACCTCCGATTTGATTCAGTACATACACCCTAGGTTTCATTTCTAACATACAATATGCTTTAGAAATGTCAATTTTACACAAGCAACAAGGCAAATCTGTTATTTTCTGTCTTTCCTCTACAGATTTAATGTAATATTAGTATCCTTCCTGTACAGAAGGTATTTTTGTATTCTCTCTAGCATACCAGCCTATGTTTGGGGGAAAGATTACCAGTTGTCTGACAGTAAAGTTTACAATCACCTATCTGCTTCTCCGTCACGGTATATCAGCCGGGAACTACAAACAAATAATCTTTCCCCGAGGATTTTCTCTTTCTGTCATACGTCAACCATTACCTTACATACTGACAACAGAGTTATCAACTCACCTGTATTTCTTTAGGTGGGCTCCTATTACCTAACATACTGACAACTGAGTTAATAACGCACCTGTATTTCCTGAGGTGGGCTCCTATTACCTTACATACTGACAACTGAGTTATTAACTCACCTGTATTTCCTGAGGTGGGCACCTATTACCTAACATACTGACAACAGAGTTATCAACTCACCTGTATTTCCTGAGGTGGGCTGCTATTACCTTGCATACTGACAACAGAGTTATCAACTTACCTGTATTTCCTGAGGTGGGGTCCTATTACCTTACATACTGACAACTGAGTTAATAACGCAACTGTATTTCCTGAGGTGGGCTCCCATTACCTTACATACTGACGACAGAGTTATCAACTCACCTGGATTTCCTGAGGTGGGCTGCTATTACCTTGCATACTGACAACAGAGTTATTAACTCACCTGTATTTCCTGAGGTGGGCTCTATGAGGACGTCTCCTGGTTTTAGGATTCCCTGCGCCTCAGCATCCTCCACCATCCTCAGGCCTATCCTGTCCTTTACACTGCCTCCCGCGTTAAAAAACTCACATTTCGCAACTGTGTAATAAATATTAAAATCAATTTGAGTCATTAAGAGCAAGACAACAGTTAAAATACATGTTCACATAAAGAAATACGCCAAGCTAAAACTAAATATAAAATCAACAGAAAACCAACTGGTTGTGAATAAAAATAATTATATCTTTTGTTGTAAAGATGAACTGAATGTAACAAATATTTTTATAATAAACAATATGTACTTTGTCACCTCCATCAGACAAACTTTATGTCCTCTTCTTGTTACTGTTACAAGACTTACACAGGCGACATTTGATGCCCTCCTTCTGTGCGATTCTGTTGATCTGGACTAGAGGTGTATTTCCAATGTTCTCCAGAACAGTAGACATCAATTTTGGGCGAGGGGCGCTGTTAAAATTCAACAAATAAACCGATAAATATAAAAACTAAATATAACACCTGTTAAACAATTTGTGTGTCAATTAAAATGTTTGGAGATAACTTTATGGTAATACTACCAAGTTTTCAAAGTTTTATCTTTTAGTATATAAGCGAAGGGATTGGGGTGTGTATGTAATGTTCCAGCTTAATTTGTTTCTCTATATAACACAAAAAGGTACCAGCTTCCTGATCCAAACTTGGTTAGTTATGATTCCTAACGTATTCACGGGTAAAATCTACCTTAAATTCAATTAAATTCTCAAGCTAGCAATTACTTCACTTTTGACTTTTAAACTGTTCATGGGCTATTCCAGCTTTTTTTTCAATTACATATATTTCCTATTTTCTTCAGCACTTAATAAAAGGGTCATAATCAGTCTTAAATATTATGCACTTTATCAAAATTTAGATGTTACCTGTTTCTTGGAAAGTCAACCGACCAACAGCAAAACAAATCAGTGCCAGTGGCTAAATGAATTACAGATGATATTATGGTTGTCTTACAATGCCAGACTTACAGTGGTACGTGTCTGTGTGGCGATTCCTTCATCGACTTGGCCTCTTGGTACGTACAGGTACTCGGACGGTCTGGACGCTTCCATTTACGGAATGGACTCTCAGCGGTAGGGCACCCACTGGACATGTTTCTATGTGTAGGTAATCTGTTATTGGTTCTGTCTGTTGAGAATACCTGCTTGAAGAATTCTCAGTCTCCTTTGCACCTTTACACTGAAAAAAAATACATTATTTCAATAATTAGTAACATTTGGTTTGCTAATGCTTTACATCCTATTAACAACTAATTTAAGGACATGCCAGGTGTTGGTGGTGGAGGAAAGCCGGAGTTCCTAGAGAAAACCCGCCGACCTACGGCCAGTACCTGGCGACTGCCCTACGAAGGCCTCGCACCTGCGGCCCAGTGGAGGGCTATAGTGGTAGCAGAATGTCAGACGCCTTAACCACTAGGCCACCGCGGCCCAATAAGTAACATATCAAAGGGACATTTATACAAAATCATCGCAAAAAATCCTACATTTTCTTCCCATCTGTTTTATGTTTGTTTTCCTCTATCTATCCAGGGTAATCAGATTGTGAAATTTATTATCTGTTGTGAAAAATGAAATACTTCGGACTTAACACCATGAAAAATAATCTAGTGACAGAAAGTGTTCATAAGGGTGAAAATGTATGAGCTGTCAAAAAGTTGCATCAAACAGTGGTTCCAGGGAACATTTATGAAAATAGTTCAGTTCCATTCCACAGTGACAAAATACATTAAAACTGTATATCTGATATCTTTGTAAAAAAGATCAACATTTGACTCCCGATGAAACATTATTCCTGTCTCCACTCTGGGAAACAATTGCTTTTAACTTATGACATAATTCAAGATGACGTTGCAAAGCACCAGGTTATTTGACAATTTAATTATATAAACTTTATTTATTTTGCAACAATTATGAAATAAGTTGTTACAACTTATTTCAATCACTCTTGTTGGCCCCAAATGTAAGCGGGCTGGGGGTATTAATGTGTGAGGAGTACTCGGAGAAAACACACGTAGTCAGGCAGGTGAACCTGTATCATTTCAGGTCCGATTGGCGAATCAAACCCTGGACGCCTTGGTGAAAGGCTATTGCAATATTCACTGCGCCACCTGTCCACCAACTTAATTAAGTTTTACCAATAAGATAATATAGAGGGTGTCACCCACTAGGGGTAACCAAAAATGTTTACCAATTCCTAGGAGATTTATTGAACAACTAAACCTATATATATATAGTCATAGACCTAGTGGTTGTGGGAGAAATAAAAGTCTATATAAAACAAGAGGCCCATGGGCCTTAACGGTCACCTGAATTATGTAAAAACTGATGTTATCGATTTTGCCAAATGAAAAAGAAATCATTTTGTAACAAAGGTAACTTGAACTACATGCATGTACATGTAATGCAAAAGTAATGTGAAAAATCTGGGTAGTATATGTATTATGTACAAATAGTGGTTCTGTCAGTCAGCTGAATTATGGTAAAGCACCTTAAGACCCTTTCATCTATGAAGAATATTTGATTCTACCATATCCGGATCTTAAGAAAAAGATTTTTGAAATTTTAGTCAATTTGACCCTTTTTGGCCCCACCCATCAGCCCCTGGGGGTCAGTCTGAGGGCTAATTTGTGCAAATCATCAAACTGCTATCCAATACTGAAAATGCTAACCAAGTTTGAATTAATTCCAATGGAAATTAAACAAATGATAGTCCAAAATGTGATTTCCCTATTTAACTATAGTAAAGTTTACTCCCTCCCCATGGGGACACGTGAACCCAAGGGTCATGAAATTCACAATTTTGGTAAAGCACCTTAAGACCTTTCCATCTATGAAGAGTATTTGATTCTACCATACCTTGGTCTTGAGAAGAAGATTTCTGAAATTTCAGTCAATTCAAACCTTTTTGGCCCCACCCACCTATCAGCCCCTGGGGGTCAGTCAGGGTTGATTTGTGCATATCATGTCAAATACTGATAATGCTAACCAAGTTTGAATTAATTCCAATGGAAATTACACAAATGCTGTCCAAATATGATTTCCCTATATAAACTAGTAGTAAAGTTTACCCCCTCCCGAAGGGGGAAAGGTGAGACCCCAGGGTCATGAAATTCACTTTTTTGGTAAAGCACCTTAACCCTTCCATCTATGATCACTCACTCAGAAGAGTATTTGATTCTACCATATCTGGATCTTGAGAAGATTTTTGAAATTTTAGTCAACTTGACCCTTTTTGGCTCCGCCCCTCACGCCCCTGGAGACTGAGGACCATATAATTCACAACTTTGGTTGACCTTTGGCCATGTTTCTGCAAAATATCATCGATATTGGTTCAGGGGTTTCAGAGAAGAAGTCGAAAATGTAAATTGTTTACGGATGGACGACGGACAAAAGGTGATCGCAATAGGCAAGACTTTGTCTCAGGTGACCTAAAAATATCTGCTATACTTCACCACAGTATAAAGAAACACAGACACTGTATACAGTACAGACCTTCTTTATATTATGTTGGTATAATGTCAAACTCCTGCATTATAGTTGACAGCTGATCGAGGTCACAATCAGATTGCAGTAAATAAAGTGGCTGTACATGTATATATATAGATAGAATCTATGTAGACTGTCAATTACCGGGTTGGTGGTTCAGGTAACAGATCTAGATCTACTGATGACCTGGCAAGTTGACAGTTAGTGAAGCGAAGCCTGCAGGGTCAGTGTAATTTAATTATTAATACACGACAGATATCTGGAAAACATTCTGATGTATTTTGAGGTTTTTTGTTCTGAGAATGATTGAAGCAATTTTCGAGTTTCCTCTCTTTGACAGATAGACATCTGGGGTGTGTGTGTGGGGGGGGGGGGGGGGCACCAGACATCTGTCAAAAAACATCTAAGACGGGTGAGTGGTGTCAGACCCAGAGGAAACCCGAAAATGGTTGTTAGTATGTTTGAAGTTGAAGTAAACATTTTGATGAACTCAATGTTGATGTTGTTAGAATATTTGAAGCAGAGATAGACGCACTATCATACACCCCTGAAATCACCCAATACATCCTGTTATATACATATACGATGACAATAAAAAAACGATGTAACGCTGACCCGTGTAGTCAACAAAAGCCGCTTTGTAACCATAACTAAGCCTGAACAGAAAGTTACTGGTCTTTCGTCGACAGTACATAAAGAAGCGAATATGGAGCCTTAAAAATATGCTAATCGTCTTCATAATGAGGAATGTGAAGTTGAAACTTGCCGTTTTCTACTGTATGTCTGTTTACGTATACACGCATTCACGTCAACAGGATCCTCAGAAAGAAATATGTTTTCTAATGCAAGCTTAGTATACGACACACCTCCAGTTGGAAGCAATATCATTGGTCGAAAAAATGGTCGCGTCTATGATACATAAAGGGGTGTCTTTTTATGTTATGAAGCGCAACGTTGATGTCATGAAGATGACAGCATTCCGTCAGTGATCAAATAAACAATACATATACATCTTATAATATGTTTACAAAAATATACATTCATAAATGTTCAAATATTTATATCTGTGAACCAAAAATTGTGACACATAGCCTACAAAGTAGAATGACCCATGAAGGAGAAAGTAGTAGCGGGTTTTTGATACGGTCCCACTTTATCCGGATTTATCAGCTACATAATTATCATTATTTATATATCAAATATACATCCTAATCTAACAATTATAGTGTACGTACCGTCCAATGCCAACGTTTTGTCTGTATGATGAGTTCTAGTGTGACACGGATTACTCTTATCTAAAACTTAAATAATACGCGTGACTATCGAGGATCACAGGCCAGATCCACTCCTTGCAGTTGCTTTAGTGAAAATGCCACACCTTCTCTGGGAGAGTCAATTGTGACGTATTTACCGAAAAATACAATAACAGGTGTCCGTTATATGTATCTATGTTGTCAAACAACACGTTACATTTTGTTAGAACTGTCAAGCACTATCGAAAACTAATTGACTTAATACGTACACTATACCCTACACGTTACCTGTTTTATTCCGTTTGTCATGCCGACCCTTTTCCACTATATATTGTATACATATAGACCCCCCCCCCCCCC